TAAAAACATTTGGAAAATGATGTATAAATTCAATGAGGTACAATTACATTTTTTTATTTTAGTAATATTTGAATAAAAAAGTTTGGACGTTGCTAAATTAGTAGTTTTAGTGATTAATTTTTGTGACATTATCCAAAATCTGATACTTACCCACAATTATATTATATTATAGTCAAGTTTTAGCTTTTATTAGATACATATATTTCTTTAATAAACCTTAGCTGAAATTTTTTTCTGTATACTTATAATAATAATAAATGTATCATTTTGTTTTTTACTATAGTAAACTTTTTAATATATTCTTAACTTGATTGAATGTAATTCAGAAAAATTGTAAGAATAGTATACCAAAATTAAGTCTAGAATGACGTCTAATTATTAAATTTTAATAATTCTATATTTGAACTCTAGAATTATTAGCTATATAATAATTTTTAAGTTCATCTATAATGCCTTGGATGTATATCAACATTTTTTTTTTTTAATAAGGATACATATTTTACATTAAATGAAATGTTTGCAGTTTTATTTTAATAGTATAATATTTTAATTTTTAACAGAACTTTATACGTTTATTAAATATAAACCGTTAAATTTTTAAATTCTTGATTTAATATACATGTATAATATATTTTCNTTCTTTTAATTATATTATTCTGTATTGATAAAAATGTTTTCCTAGGGGCATAGAAAAAACGATATGCCTTTGATGACACTAGTCTTACAATATTGCATTTGCTATCTAATATCATTAATTTTTATAATATAATTACAATTAACATGAAAATAAATGACATTAAATACACATAGACATTTTCTGCTTAAATTCGAGTTATTGTAAACGGATTAATTAATTAAATTAGCTTGAATTCAACGTTTTATGTTAAATTTTAAAAAGTGATGCAGTGATGCAATTTGTATTGAAACATATTGCAATAGTGGCTTTTATCAGTGTTAAATTTAAATGTAAACTGGTTTTCCATTTTGCGGAAACTTTTCTATAGGCACGTGTAGAATAAAATTTTAGTGAGTGTTATTATAATTATATTACCCTAAAAATTATTATTACTTAAGAACACATTTATGCCCTACATTTTTTGTGAGGTCAATATCTCATAGCCTCTAGTTGCGCCCATACAACTGTATGTAATAGATTTTTGAAATATACTTAATTTCACTTTAGACTTTCTATCCCCCACCAAAAATATTGAATACTCGAATTATTTTATACGAGATTTAATATTTAAAATAAAAAAAAATTTTGAGCATTTATTAATTGAAATTAATATTTGACTATATGAAATTTAAACAAAAAAGTTGGTTCTTTTATTAATTATACTTTTTTATTATTATAACCTATATATATATATATATATTATATTATATAACATATACTTACTGATCACTCTATATATAGAGTGATCAGTAAGTAAAGAAATGGGTTTCTATTGTTCTTATTGTTAGAACAACTGGCCTGTTTCCTTAATTACTAAATGCTGTATATTTATATATATATATGAATATAATTTTGAGTACTGCTTATAATTGCATATTGATATATGAAAGTTTGTTTTCGCATTTATGTTACACTTTCAAAACAAATGATGACTTTAATCTTATAATATAAAAATAGCGGGCTGTACATAGTTTGATATATCGAGACAGTTATGTCACTAGAACGCGCTATAAATTTGCAAATGTAAAAAAAAACTGGCTGTACTATGCTAACATTTTCAGAAAGATATGTCGCATGTACGAGTTTTAACATTTGCTATGGAAAAGTCATTTGTTCAATGTATCTTAGTTAAATTGATACATTTAAAGATATTTAACTATTAATTATTATACATAATAAGACTATTGAATTGTGATAACGTTAGAGGTATCTTTAATATAAGAACAGAATTTTTTTTTTTTTAATTCACATAGTCAAATTTATATTATATTAATGACTGCGATTTTTTTTTTATTAATCAAAACACTAAATTTCTCGTACATTTTAATTAATGTATTCGATATTTTTTTGTGGGTAAAAATGTAAATGAGTTATGATTATTCTAATTTGAAGTGAAGTATAATCCAAAAATCTAGTACATTTAGATGTAAAAACACAACTGGAGGTTAAATAAAGTACCTTACAAAAAAAGTGGGATATATAATATACATATTATGTGATCTTATATAAAAATATTTTTTGGTGTTAAAAAATAATAGTAACACTCTCTAAAGTTTTATTCTAGTTGCGACTATGGATAGATGTCGGGAAAATTGGAAACCTGTTAAGATTTAATTTTAACAGCGATTAAAATCACTATTGTAAGATGTTTCAATAAAAATGTGCTCAAGAAGTTCTATATTCGTGTTGAACCTAGTTTTAGGACGAATTTAAATTCTTATTTAGTATTGATAATTAGTATATTTAGAAAAAAGTATCAATTATGACTTTGTCAACAGATATTCTTAAAGTAAAATAGTAAGGCACATTGTTGTAAATTAATAGATAAGAGGTTTCATTAATAACAGATTTAAACTAAACTTACGAATAGTCGTGATCTGCTGGAATATTTGCGTGAAAGAATAAAAAAAAAACTATCTTATTTTGTATATTTTTATTCATTACAAATGGTATAAAATATAAATTCTGTACACTCATATTTACTAAGCTTATATATTGTAAAACAAAATACAAATCATATTTAAAGTGCTAATTAAGTCATAATGCCAAAATATTTATTATTATTATTTAAAGAGATTACATTTTTTTAATTTATTAAATGATCATTTTTTATTATAAAAAAAAAAGACACCATTGCAATTATATTTTATTAATGGAAGAAATTCTAAAATGTGATAAATTTTTAATTGTAAATCATATTTAATGTGGTGTGAAATTTGTTCATAACACCATAGATATTTTATTATTTTTAGATAAGATAACACTTAAATGATAGTTTGAATTGTTTATTTTGTATATTATAACATTAACAATAGATTTTATTTTAATTATATTAAATAATAAGAGCCTAGTTTTAATACTATGAACAATACATTTTAAATCTCATTACCAGATTTTTTTCAAATAATGCAGATTATTTTAGTTGCTAATTAATATTAAAAATATTATTGAATCCTATGTATAAAAAGTAATTCTTTATGTATTTTGATTATGTCTTTATTTATGTAAATAAAAATAATCAAGTTAATGTAAAAAAATTAATATTAATTATCTACAGCTCATTAATTAAAAGTAAAAAATCTTAATTAAACCAACTTCCAAAAAACATTCATGTATTTCGTAAACGATATTTACATCATCAGTGAGAAACCAGTATTAGTCACGGTTTATCATTAAGTTTGATTTTATTTATTTATTTATTTTTTTATTATTAAACGTAATATATAATCTTTATCAACAGACACGATAAGCATATTTAATAAGAGTTACAAGAATGACATGGAAAATTTGATGAAAGAAGCCACCCATCGTAGGCACTTTCTGTGGATTTTTTTTTAAATTTTTATTAAAATTTTTATTTGAAATTACCTTATCTTAAGAGATCACGACATCATTTACGCTTCAGACGTCGAGGGGTATTACCAGGTATGGAAGGAGTAGATAAGTTTTTTATAAGTTCATTAGGGTGGTTATTTAGTTTAGAATGGAATCTTTTATAAAACATTTTTGCTTCGTCGTTAATTGTTTTAAGTTGGGTGTCAGTATGGAGAGTGTGATTAGACACGTAGGGTGGGGCGTTCATTATTTTACGGAGAGCAATATTTTGAAAAGTTTGTATTTTTAGTATGTTTGACTTTTTTGCGTTTCCCCAGAGTTGAAGACCGTATGTCCAAATGGGTTTGAGAAGCGCTTTGTAAATCAAGAGTTTGGTTTGAATGGTAGTGGAGTGATTTTTGTTTATTAGAGGTTTGAGGATACGGAGACGATGATTCAGTGCTAGTCTTTTAATTCTGATATGATGAGCCCAGGTTAATCTTTGATCAATAGTGAGCCCGAGATATTTGACTTTTGGAGAGTAAGGGATAGGGATACCGTAAAGAAAGACTCTAGGACAGGAAGCATGTTTGAGGGTGAAGGTAGTATGGACAGATTTGCTTTGGTTTACTTTGAATCGCCAGATGGTAAACCATTTTTTCATGGAGTTAAGGTGAGTTTGGAGATTGTTTGACGCTGTGAGTGGATCATTGTCAATGGATATTATTGTTTTGTCATCAGCGTAGTCTGCTACAGATGTGTTGGGGAAGTAGGTTGGTCAGAAGCGAAGATATTATAAAAAATAGGAGACAAAATGCCCCCTTGGGGAACACCAGCATTGATAGCTGCTACGTCAGATAAAGCAGAACCGTAGCGTATTTGAAATGCCGATCAGTTAGATAGGATTTAATAAGTAAGTAATAGGTAGGTGGCAGAAATTTCTTAAGTTTAAACAAAAGCCCGTCATGCCATACGCGGTCAAGAGCTTGTGAGATGTCTAGAAACACACAATTGCAGGACAATTTTTTTTCCAGGGAATATGCAATGGAGTCTACGATCCTGTGTGCTTGATGGATAGTCGAGGGAGAAGCGCGAAACCCAAATTGGGTGTTTGGAAGAATATTTTTTTCAGTAATTATCGGGAGAATTCGTTTCAGAAGTAACCGTTCTAATATTTTGGCGAAAAAAGGGAGAAGGCTTATTGGACGGTGAGATGATGGTATGTCTGGTGGTTTGTTTGGTTTTGGAATTAAGATTATAGATGCGAATTTCCATAATAGGGGAAAATAGGAAAGTCTGAGTGAAGCATTATATATATGAGTGATATGAACGATGGCTCTGGTTGGGAGGGATCT